CACGTTCACTGGTTATCGGGCGAAGAACGACGGGGAGACAGTGGACAGTCCATCGTGTGTGTGTGTGTGTGTGTGAGTGTGTGTGAACATGGATGCGAGGACACGAGGACAAGGATGCGAGGCAGCGCATTGCAGAACAACGAACAAACACGGCAGCCATCGATATGGAAGGAGAGAAGCAAACGAGGTCCACACACGCACACATCAAATCACACACTCTTCATGTACGTACCTTTGCGGGAATCGTTCGTCCGCGTTTTTGTCCTTCTCCTCCTCTTTGCGCGCATGTATCAAGTCGTGCAGCAGCCCGTCACTCGGTATCTGCACACACACACACATACGCACGCATGGTGAGTGGAAAAGGGAAGAGCAGAGTGAGGCCGTGCACCACACACACACACACACACACACACACACACACACACACACACACATACACACACACAACACAAATGAGCGCACGTGTGCGGGCCCTACCTCTTGCATCATGACGCTCGGCACTGCCTCAATCTGTTTGAGATGAAGATCAATCTGGGCAAGGAGGCGATCCACGTACTCCTTCGTGTTCTCGTTCTCAAACGACGTCGACATGTCTGGGTGCAACGAAAAGTCCGGGCCAAAGAACGGAAAGTACTCTGCAGTGCAGCCATGCAATGCGCGTGTTTACGTTTACGTGTGTGTGTACGTGTGTGTGTGTGTGTGTGTACGTGTGTGTGTGTGTGTGTGTGTGTGTGTGTGTGTGTGTGTGTGTGTGTGTGTGTGTGTGTGTGTGTGTAAGTGTGCGTGTGTGTGTGTGTGCGTACAAGTGACCAAATATCCGGCGAAAAACGCGAGCAAAGATGAGAAAGCGCAGAAATCGAAAGAGGTCGCCCACGCAACGTTCCCTGTAGCACCCATCATCACAACCACTACCACCAGCACCATCGCCACCTGCGCACACCTCCAAATGGAATCTCGTTGGACAGCTCGGCACCAACCAGCAGCCCCGTCTCATATGTCCTGTGCCAACACGCATCCAAGACACAATTACGACACCGGGCGCAGTGTGTGTGTGTGTGTGTGTGTGTGTGTATGTGTGTGTGTGTGTGTGTGTGTGTGTGTGTGTGTGTGTGTGTGTTATCTCGGGAAACTGGGCGCTTTTTTAGGCCCCATCCCTTGTATTGCCTTGGGGCGCCATGCCACACGCAGTAGTTAAAAATGGCAAGCAGACTAGTCCACTACCTACTCCTAAGCAGTCTCCAACTTGAAATACATGCGTTGTTAATGTACCGGCTCCGCCGACTAACCGAAATTATGTTTAACGCATGGATAAAAAACGTGGTCGACATATTAAGCCCATGTAGAATACCTTTTCCTGGGGCCGGTTTCTGTTGCTGATACTTCGAGCGATAGAGAAGTCCCAAACTGGTGTGGAAGTCCTACCAACAGACTGTCCATCCCCATCCCACCCCGTTCCCCCATCTCACCAGCAGCGCGCGACGTTGCGGATGGTGTAGCCGCCGCCGCCAAGAATCAGCGTCGGCAGATTGAAGCTCTTGATAAAGTCCACACACGCGCTGCAGCAACGTAGAGCACACGAGAGCACACATGCAGGGGAAACGGTGATGTGAGGAAGAAGGGGCGTGCGGTCACATGAAGTAATGCCAAGCAGCAACACAACGCAACTCTCCATCACTTCCATCACTTCCATCCATCCATTCATCCATCCTCTCCCACTCTCGCTTGTTGACACATCCAGCACGCGCCACGCCACGTCACATTACGTCGCACCCGTGCGACTCGATGGTCATGTTGAAGCACCCGAGGCGGTCCAGCCCCAGCGAATCCGCGCCGCACTGGCACGACAGGCAGTGGTGGTGGTGGTGAGTAGACATGCGTGTGTGTGTGTGTGTGTGTGTGTGTGTGTGTGTGTGTGTGTGTGTGTGTGTGTGTGTGTGTGTGTGTGTGTGTGTGTGTGTGTGTGTGTGTGTGTGTGTGTGCTGTGAGTACATGCTGGTGGTGGGCACGTGGAAGCCTGCGCCCACCTGACACGTTTGAGCGCAGCACGCCAGGGAACGAAGCAAGTGTCTCAAACAAGTAGGCAACGGCTCTTTGCGGAGGCACAACACACCTGCAAGACGATGGCGCTTGGCTGGTACCTCTCAATGACTTTTGTCATTGTTGGCTTGAAGATGCGAAGATAGGCTGCACACAACACGAGAAATCGAGGAAATGGGGACAGGAGAGTGTTAGTTGTGTCAGTGGAACCAAGGTGAGTGAGAAATGAGCGGAAGGGGGCAGAAGACAGCGTTGCACACACACGCACACACACACACACACACACACACACACACACACACACAGTGAACTCACTGTCGCCGTCAATGCCGTTCTTGAGGGGAACGTTGACAGAATAGTACTTCCCACGGCCCTCCCCAATCTCAAAGATGTTGCCTGCAGGCAAACCATCAATTCAGAAAGCGTGTGTCAACGGGTGAGCAGTTGCACAAAGGCGCTTTGTGCATGTCACACCTGCACACGTTCGCCATCTCCCACTTCTATCAAACACCAATCCAATCATCAACATCATCATCATAATCATCATCATCATCATCATCATCATCATCATCATCATCATCATCATCATCACCTGTGCCGGGGAAGAACTGGTCGCCAAATTTGTGGAACGAAACCGTCATCACGCGGTCTGTCGTGAAAAACGCCTGATTGCACACGCATATGTCGACAGACAAATGAGTGTCTGGAACACACAGCATACACACGTACACACACACACACGTACACACACACACACACGGGTGTGCACCTCTTCGACGCCATCGCCGTGGTGGATGTCAATGTCGATGTAGAGCACGCGCGGGTGGTACCTGCGCCAACGAGCGAAGTGCAATGACACGTATGCACGCAAACAGGCAGAGAGCAGCACGTGAGCAGGTGGACACAATCACAACACCAGCAACAGGCAAATTACCACCACCACCACCACCACCACCACCACCACCACCACCACCACTTATCACCACTATTGCGCTGACTTGAGGAGCTCGAGGATGGCGATGACAATGTCGTTGACGTAGCAGAAGCCCGACGCCTCAAACTTCTTGGCGTGGTGCAGGCCGCCAGACCAGTTGATGGCAATGTCGCATTGCTGTTGGCGCGAAGTTGGTGAATCGTGTGAAGTTATGGTTGCAGTGAGGTATTCTCCTCAAAAGGATGCATCGACAACAGCACACACATACATACACACACGAACACATACACATGCGCATGCATACATATACATACACACACACCTTGTGGTTGAGTTTGCGCGCGCCTTCCAGCGATGCACCAGTGTACATTGAGCAAAAGTCAAACAGCCCTTCAAACAGCGGGCTGGCGTCGACAAGGAACGGTGGCAGTGGGTGAGAACACACGCCATCATACGATCACATGGGCAGCTACTTGCTTCAGGTCCAGTGTGTCAGTCAACGCTGTTGGTCACACACAGACTGCGGTCAAGCTACCCTTCGCCGCCAATACCACTCACCAGTCATGCCCTGTGCCGATCAGGAATTTCGATCCATCCTTGAGTGTGGGTCTGTGGTGCAAAGCGGTGAGCAAAGATAGTGGTGTTGCGATGGTACGATTTTGCAAGGGAGGAGCCGAATGCATGTGTGGCAGAAAGCATGGCGAGGGTTGACGCTTTGGTGGCGTTCACACGCGAAGCATCTTGGGTGTGGCTAGCCGTGATCGTTCAGAGTGGTGGTTGCATACACACGGGTGGATCATACACACACACACACTCACGCACGCACGCACGCACGCACACACGCACACACACACACACACGCACACACACACACACACACACACACACACACACACACACACACACACACACACACGCACGCACGCACGCATGCACGCACCGTTGCAGATACCGCACGTAGTCCTTTGAGTGAAACATTCCAATATCATCTGCGGTGGCGCGGTATGGCCGGTACACCTGCAAGCACAAGGCAGGCAGGAATGTGGGAGGTGAGCATGCGTTGCAAGGCCGCGAAAGCTGTGGGCGCGGTGGAGCGAAAATTGCGTCGACACACAACTTGCGGGCACACCTGCATCTTCTCGTGGAGGCCATAGTTGAGCACGAGGCTGTGTGTCAGCGCCAATCTGTGGGGCTTCATGGGATGTCTTTGACCTGAGCCGGTGCGCGAGTCACAAATGCGGCAGCGAGAAAAAAGCGCGCATAACAAGAACGCAGTGTAAGAAGTGCGCGTCAGAGTCAGTGAATATGCAAGCACTGAAAGTGAATGAAGGAGGGGGGGGGCAGTGTTGGCAATGGTACTCCAGCATGCACATGTGCACGTGCGTCGACTGCCGCGTACCATAGTGGAAGTTTGCGACGTCTTCATCATGGAAGTACGCCACCACCGGCTTGGAGGCCATGGCTGGCACACACAACACACAGAAGGTGAGTGTTCGAGGTGTTCGATGGCGCAAGTTGTGGCGATTGATGAATGATTTCCATAACAAATCGACAACCACGCCGACGAACGACGACGAGCAGCAAACCCGACCATGAGCACCGAAGAACGGCTGTGGCGTGTGCAGGGGGAAGCACGGGCACGGGCGGCGCAGGCCCAGGACTTCTTCCAGGACCTGGAGCAATGGGAACGGTCCATCACACAGAAGGATGAACAGTTAAAGCGCACGCAGGCTGTCACAAAGAAGGTGGAGGGAAGGCGGGGGAGGTGTTGGGGTGAAGACACGTGCAACACAAAACAACAGCTGGCATGCATTGGCTGATTCACTTGCACATACGCGCCACTTAACGCATTCACGCACACACGCACACACACACACACACATACACACACACATACACACACGTACACACGCGCACACACATACACACGCGCACTGGTCAACACGCAATTGCGATGTAGTTGCCACCCGTACGGAGTCAGGTGGGACTAGATAGTGGTACAGACGCGGAGAGCGGTTCGCAGCAAACAGCGCCAGAAACAGCGACTGACAATGTTGCAAAACAACAGCAGCAGCAGCGCCTCAGGTCTGGTGACTACCGCGGATGGGACAAATTTGATGTGGACAGCGAGCTGCAGAAGTTGGAGCAGCAGGAACAACAAGAAGAGGAGCGCAAATTGAAGGAAGCCATGCGCGCACAGCAAGGTTGCTGTTGTTGTTGTTGTTGTTGTTGTTGTTGTTGTTGTTGTTGTTGTTGTTGTTGTTGTTGTTGTTGTTGTTGTTGTTGTTGTTGTTGTTGTTGTTGTTGTTGTTGCTACACACACACATAACACTCACATGCACCTGAGCACCACCCACACACACGCATGCACTCACATTACTGTGCACTTACTTTAACACACTGACCAAAAGAGGAGATTGCGCCAGCCGACACAATGCACGACAGTCAGATGTCGGACATGCAGCTGCGGACCCACATGGCCACGTGCGAGAAGGAGAACGTACGTGTGCCACGGCACTGCAGTCACACACATCCACAGTTGTTGGCGTCAATATGCATTGCGGGTGCTTTCACCTGTTCAGTGCGCGCATCATTGGCCGTATGAACTGCCGCCGTCCTGCTTGCTGCTCCAGTGCACACATGCGTACATCAACCACCACTGACATCACCACCATCACCACCATCACCACCATCACCACCATCACCACCATCACCACCACCGCAGGGCAATGCGCAGTTCAAGGCGGGCAAGTACATGGCTGCGGTGGACTGCTACACGCGCGGGCTGGACGTTGATCCCGACAACGCCGCGCTCTACGCCAACAGGGCGATGGCGCATCTCAAGCTCAAGCAGTACGTCCAACTCGGCCCGTGTGGACGCGTGCATCTGTGCGTGCGCGCGTGTGTGTGTGTAGCATGTGTGTGTGTAGCATGTGTGTGTGTATGTGTGTCGTTGTGTGTAGCATGTGTGTAGCTGTGTGTAGCATGTGTAGCATGTGTGTATGTGTGTCGTTGTGTGTAGCATGTGTGTAGCTGTGTGTAGCATGTGTAGCATGTGTGTATGCGTGTCGTTGTGTGTAGCATGTGTGTGGCTGTGTGTGTGTGTGTGTGTGTGTAGCATGCGTGAGTTGTGTTTGTGTCGCTGTCCATCCTTCAACACTTGTATCGTTTTTGATGTTTCCATGCTTCGTCTCATTCCGTTTCCCCTCCAGGTATGAACACGTCGTTGAAGACGCAACACAAGCCCTCCGCTGCGATCCTAAGTACATCAAGGTGTGTGTGTGTGTGTGCGCGCGCGCGCGTGTGTATGTACGTGCATGTGTGTGCGTGTTCATGTGCATGTGCATGCTGCACCACCGACCCCACTCATCACCACCCTTCCACCCACCATCCATCCCATCCACCTGCCAGGCTATGTCGCGCCGTGCAACAGCAAACTGCGCTCTCAACCGCTTCGATGATGCAATGGAAGGTGAGACAACATCCCCCTCCCCATTACACACGTGCGCACTGGCTCTGGTTACTCGCCATCATCAACAACACCAACAACAACACCAACATAAACAACAACAACAACAACAACAACAACAACAACAACAACAACAACAACAACAACAACAACAACAACAACAACAACAACAACAACAACAACAACAACAACAACAACAACAACAAC